GATATCTGTAATACCATCAAACATCCACATCTGCCTATCCCAGGTCCTGGGAAAGGACTCGATAGGTAGACAAAATGCCAAATCCAGTCTGAACATCTGGCTGACTGTGCGATGATCCATAATAATAATAATAATAATAATAATAATAATAATAATAATAATAATAATAATAATAATAATAATAATAATAATAATAAAAAGTTGGAAGGGACCTTGGAGGTCATCGAGTCCAACCCCCTGCTCAGGCAGGAAACCCTATAAGATTTTTACTTTTTTCTTCATGGGGCATTCATCTTTAGATCGTGTTTTCAGGAATTGCCTAGGAAAGAAGAAAGGCAGAGGTTTAACATATTACTATTGATCTCGTTTTTCTTTAGGCGTGAAATGTTTCTCCCCAATAAAGGAGCCCGCAGTGATGCATCTAAAATTCTCATTGTGATAACTGATGGAGAAAAATCAGGAGATAACCTAGAATACAGTGATGTGATTCCAGAAGCACAAAGGGCTAACGTTATCCGCTTTGCCATTGGGGTGAGAACATTAGCAGAACATTATAGATAGTCCTCGTTTAATGACTGGTCACTTAGGAATTTGGAATTATGATGGACTCCCCAAAAGCAATTTAGGACCCGCTTCTGCAATTTGAACAGCTGCACAACACGTATCTTATAGTCCCATGATTGCATTTTGGGTGTTGGATAACTAACTCACCTTTACGGACAGTTGCAGCGTTCTGTTGTCAGTGACTACAGTTTATGACATTTTTTTTTTTACCAATTTCCAGCCTTTCAAGCTGGTCTCCAGAAAGAAATGCTGATATGAATATATTGATTCAATTAATGACCACGGCATTTGCGGAACGACCACTGCAAAAAAAAAAAGTCATAAAATCAGGTCTAGTCATGTAGGTGCTTCCACTTATTACCATCATGACTTACAGCGGAAATTCCAGGCTCCGTTGTGGTCATAAGTCAAGGACCACCTGTATTAGGAAATCAGAACATGCAATTTTCTTCTGATTGTTCCGATATATCAGTGGTTCTCAACCTTTTTAATGCCGCGACCCCCAACCGGTCGTAAGTCGAGGACTAAACTGGTCGTAAGTCGAGGACTACCCAACCGGTCGTAACTCGAGGACTTTCCCTGCCCGGGAGCGCCGCGCATGCGTGGTTCCGCCCCCTGCGCCGGCCGAGGTGTAGCTGGCAAGCGGCAGAGACGGAGCAGGCCAACCCCCAGCTGGCCTAGCTCAAGGGAGGTAAGGCACCCGCCGGAAAAGGGGGAAAAATGGCGGACAGCCTTGCTTGGCGACACCCGTGAAGTGGTCGATCGACCCCAAATGGGGTCGCGACCCATAGGTTGAGAACCGCTGTGATATATAGAGCTGCCAGTCAATACGAACAGATGGTAAAGAGGGAATTGTATTGTTCACTCTCACTTTAGCAACAAAAGGCAACTCTCCAAAATGTGTTGCCATGATTCCTTTACAAATGCAGGGAAAGACAACTAATATGCAGAATCCTTACTGGGGGTAGAGTAACTATGGTAGTAGTAGTAGTAAAGTCTCTGTTTTTGTCTCCCCTCGCCATTTCTGGCATGCCGTGAAGGTTGGGCTGGCTTTCTCCAAAGGACCTGCTCGTCAAGAACTCATTACTATTGCCTCAGAACCCTCTGTGGACTATGTTTTCTCCGTGGACAACTTTGATGCCCTCAAGGACATCCAGAACAATCTTCAGAATAAAATTTTTGCCATAGAAGGTATCACATCTGATGGTTTGCCTAGAACAGTGATGGCGAACCTTTTAGAGGCCGAGTGCTCAAACTGCAACCCAAAACCCACTTATTTATCACTGGGGGCCAGGTGGGCGTGGCTCACTGGGTGGGCGTGGCTGCGGTGGTCATGGCAGATTGGGTGGGTGTGGCCAAGGTGGGCGTGGTCACCTTGATGTTGCTCATGGGGAGGGACGCCTGTGGGGGCCAGGCAGGGTTGGGGGAGATCCAGGGGGTCTCCGGCAGGTGGGGCAGTGGGCAGGAGGCTTGTCCTGTGGGGTGAGGCGAGGCAAGGCGGGGGTGCCATTGTCACAGGGCAAGGTGAGGCAGGGGCCGGGACGGCTGCTGCCTGACACCATCAGCCCCTGCACACAGAGGCCAGCGAGCGTATGGGTGCTGGGATGCATCTGGCCATGTGGGACCTCAGCGAGTTAGCAGGTGGCTGGTTGAACAGGGATGGTTGCCATCTCCGGGGCATGGCATGTGTGCCCACAGAGAGGGCTCTGAGTGCCGCCTCTGGCACGCGTGCCATAGGTTCGCCACCACTGGCCTAGAAATAACGCTAGGATTTGGAGCTCAAAATGGATTCCCACCCTAGTCAAAATGCCAAAGAGAGTCATGATGACTGTTAGATTCTTGATCCAGATACTTCAGCTGCCATGAGGATTGACTTTTGTGAGCAACTTTCGGCAGTAGAGGCAGTCCTTAATTTATAACTGGTCTCTTAACAATCGTTCAAAGTTACAAAGGACTGAGAAAAAGTTACTTATGACCAGTCCTCAAAGTTATGACTGCTGCACCACTCCTGGGGTCATGGGATCACCTTTTGGGTGCTTGCCAGTCTGTTTGCATTTACAACTGATTGCCAAGCACCCCACAATCATGTCATCATCATTTACAATCTTCTCTGCTGGCTTCCCCGGAAAGTCAATGGGGAAGCCGGCAGGAAAGTTTGCAAGATACTGCTGCTTGCCAAAGGATTTCTTCTCTCCCTGGTGCCTAGGGGGAAGATTCCTGTGGTGGGATGGAGAAACAAAACTGGGATCCCAAAGATCCCAGCTTTGTTTCTCTGACCCAGTGTTGGTGTTCCCTTTTGCACACGGAGGGGAGGGGAACTCCTGCGGTGGGATAGTGAAATGAAGCTGGGATCATAAAGATTCCAGCCTCATTTCTTCAGCCTACCATGGGAATTCCCTTACACACACAGAAAGGGGCTGCCATCCTTTCAGTCTGTCAGTCCCTCAAGTTAACAACCCATGCAGCCACTTAATGACTGCAAATGCGAACACCAGCAGTCCAGTCGTTGAGCAAAGTGGTCATGTGGGCATCTCACTTGTTGACCCCCAATGACTTATGACCAAAATTCCAACCTCAGTTGCAGTCATAAGTCAAGGAGTACCAGTATACGGATGAGCATCGGTCTATTGATGGGTAGGGACATAGGTTGGACTATCTATCTATATGATTATCTATCTATCTATCTATCTATCTATCTATCTATCTATCTATCTATCTATCTATCTATCTATCTATCTATCTCTACCTACCTACCTACCTACCTACCTACCTACCTTTCTATCTAATCTACCTACCTACCTACCTACCTTTCTATCTAATCTACCTACCCATCTGTCTACCTACCTACCTACCTACCTACTTACCTGCCTACCTAATCTACCTATCTATCTATCTATCTATCTATCTATCTATCTATCTATCTATCTATCTATCTATCTATCTATCTATCTATCTATCTATCTATCTACCTACCTAGCTACCTATCTTTCTATCTAATCTACCTACCTACCTACCTAATATCTATCTATCTATCTATCTATCTATCTATCTATCTATCTATCTATCTATCTATCTACCTACCTACCTACCTACCTACCTACCTACCTACCTTTCTAATCTACCTATCTACCTATCTACCTATCTACCTATCTACCTATCTATCTATCTATCTATCTATCTATCTATCTATCTATCTATCTATCTATCTATCTATCTATCTATCTATCTTTCTATCCATCTTTGATGTTGCTGGTTGGAAATATGACCTGTTTCCAGATTTATCTATATTTTGAGTAAACCTCCATTGAAATCGATGGAACAGACCTAAGTTGACAGATAATCCATCTGCTTGGCCTGCCATTGCTCCAACAGCGTTACCTCCCCAAAGTCTTCAGGTTGCACCAAGAGATACCAAGACTTGTTCGATATTTCTTTCA